TTTTTTATTGCACCTATTTTATGGTTTTACAAAAACAAAAACAACAACCTCATGCTACAGTGAAGGTAAAGGAATAAGGAAGGTAAAGGAATATAAAGCACTGGTTCTTAACCAGGGGAGGATTTGTTCCTACCCCTCTGCCAGAGGGGACAGATGGTAATGTCTGAAGACATTTCTGGTTGTCACAACTAGGCAGGGGGTTCTACTGGCATCTAGTGAAGCCAGAGATGGTGCTAAACATCCTGTAATACACAGGACAATATCATCCAACCCAAAATGTTAACAGTGCCAAGACTGAGAAACTCTGGTTTAAAGGAACAAAATCGTACGAACAGAGAACACAAAAACCTTTCAAGGTCTGACCAGGTAATACACCCATAAGCTTAGAGTTAGGGAACACAGAAAAGTTGAATTCCTTTGTAGACTAAAATCAAGTTACTTGTGAAAAATTAAAATGCTGAACTGATTCTAGAGCTCTACCATCATTATGAGAATAGAGGAAATTTAAATGAGCCACTAAAATGGCACAATGCTTTAAACCAGGAGAACAGAGAGAATCCATCTAATCCATAAACCAAAGGCATTTAATATCAGCTAAATTTGCAACAGTAAAGGATGATTTAAGGAATGACTGGAGAAAATGTTCTGAACTTACTCATACACCCTACCTTCCATTTTCTAATGGCATGGATTCTGGCTTTAATTCCATGAAAAGGATGCATAGAAGTCATTCAAACATTTGTTGAGTGAAACTAAGTAGGAATTTTGTGTGAAATGAACACAGAAAAGCACCTTACATTTCTCTGAGAACTATCAGTGATTAAAAGACATTAAGAAACAAGGAGAAGCAGGGGCGCCTGGGTGGCTCAGTCGTTAAGTGTCTGCCTTCGGCTCAGGTCACGATCCCAGGGTCCTGGGATCGAGCCCCACATCCATCGAGCCCCACATCCATCGAGCCCCACATCCGGCTCCCTGCTCAGCGGGAGGCCTGCTTCTCCCTCTCCCACTCCCCCTGCTTGTGTTCCCTCTCTCACTGTGTCTCTCTCTCTGTCAAATAAATAAATAAAATCTTTAAAAAAAAAAAAAAGAAAGAAACAAGGAGAAGCAGAAAAAATTAGTTTCTATATTATAGAATTCAGAAAACCACACACCAACACCGTAAGCCATTTTACAGATTCAATATGAAGTCATCCCTTCCTATTACATTCACTTCCAGAGTAACTTTTGAAAATATATCCATAAATAGTAAAATGGCTTCAAGCTTGCCTACTCGATGAAGTGCAAACTACAAGTGAAGAAGATCATCTTCCCTCCTAGTTTGGGGGACTTAAACATTACCACAGGGAATACTCATTGTCTACAGCTCACAAAAGAAATACCCAAAGGCTTTGAATATATAAGCCAGAGTAAAGATTTCTTCCTATGAGATTATAAGGAAGAACTAAAAGGAAGCTAATAAAGTGTTGGACTAATTTTTCCTCTTGCTGTTTGTATTTAGAATTGATTGTCAAAGCAGTGGTCCCTTTAGATCAGAATGACTCAGAGAAATCATGTAATTCCTACTTAAATGATAGCTGAAGTTTTCTGAAACCCAGGACTATGCAATCACTTTAAAAAAATGACTCTCTCCTCTTTTGACTGATTTTACACAAGTAAATGGGGAAATAAGAATCAGTCTCTGGTTGAGGGACTTTAGGCACGATTTGGCAGAGCGCCTCTGACTTCTTTTCTGCAATCTGTCAGTAATTCAGTCATGATCTGCTATGGACTTCATCTGGTTACCGACTATACCTTGCACTTTCCAAAAAGATTTTTTTTCCTTACAAATTCTAAGCTCTGTATCCAACTATTGCTTTGCAATTTTGAGGTTAGGTCACCTACCATGCTTCATAGAGAAGGCAATCCTCAAAAATATTGCCATTTGCCTGGGATCCCATAATGAAATCTCTCTTCTCTTTTCCCTCCACAATCACTTACATAGTTCATTTTAAGAGCTAACTTAGAAATGTTCTAAAAATATATTTTGAGATTCTAAATTTAATCTATTGAAAGGTATCAGATGCAGTCTTTTAAGTTCTATATCCTTATTTATAGCAATCAATTCTCCCAACATGAGGGTCCACAGAACAAAGTTATTAGAGAAAATTTTGATATATATGAATGGCCAACATTTAGGCTAGGAATTCAAATATAACTACTGTTTACATGTATTTCCTTATATAACATATAAGGGACTATAAACCAAAAAGTGTGCCTAAGATCAGGCCCATGTGAGTAACATGACCAGAGTAGTGGTCAAAGGAATGATCGTGACAGTCATTTTAACCACTGACCCAGATCACAGCATGACTGACTGTGCACAGTGACTCAAGTGGCCAGGTGTACAAACACAACCTAAATTCCAGTTGACAATGCACACATTTTTGGAAAAACAAATAAGTAAATATAACATGGGCTGTAAGGCCTCCAAGATATTAATTTTTCCTCTTTTCACCATAGCTTTTCCAATTGGACTTTGGGAGTCTTGGTTCTAGGACTGCTCTGTATTTCTTCTAAGAGGAACTCTTTCTGTCACCGCGCTGCCTTCTGAACCAAAGGCATGACACATTTGTGCTTCTGAGTCATAAGGACATGGACCTTCAGGAAAGATGGTCTACAGATTCAAAAGTTAAGTATATATATTTAAATGCCTGGTCTGAAAACAAACAAACAAACCCTAAACAACTGAATAAAGAACCATATTTGTTGTTCTTTGTTGTTAAAAATGACTGGTCTATAAAAGTTTCGGTAGATGGGGCCATGTAGTACATAACTGGGACTGAAGACAAGAAGTTGAAAATTCGAGTTTCTAAAAAAAGTACTAGAATGTATGAAGTTGGTGTTACCGTTTTGGGGGGAGAAACACTCAATAGGTTTAAGAAAAGATAGCAATGAGAGATTTGTTTTATCTTAAGAACCTTTTGCCCCACACAGGATCTTTAAAATAGACAATTATACAAAACTTATCTATTGTTCTTATGACATTTAAATAAGTTAACACAAAGCAGAAAACGTGGTGTTAGTTATCTTCTTCCTCATCCTCTTTAATTACTGGGGTACCTAAAATGAAAAAGAAAATATTTCTGGTCATTCTCAACAGATTGCTAAAATTCTAAATGAAAATATTTTCCTGTTAACCTGAGAAGCTATGAGATGCTACGAAGTGTGCCATAATAAAAATAATCTCATAAAATAATCTCTTTAATTTCAAATTATCCAAAAAGCCTCTCAGGGAAATTCTCAAATGGATTAATATAAGTACTTATGAATATTTGGCTCCCCAAATGCAGAGTTGCAAATAAAATGCCTACAGGTGCCAGGCAGAAAAATAAGGCCCTATACCCAGTAAAAACTTTGTATGTTAAACACAAAGAAATATTCTTCATTTTTCACAATAAAATATGCAATCCCAGTGTTGCCAGAAATCTGTATTTTTATATTACTCTCCCAAATATTAAGCAATAGGGACAAATTTGGGAAAAAATAAAAAGAACCAAAGCACAAAAAACAAAACACATCTGCAGGCTGTCACTGGGCCAAGGGCCACCCATTTCTGAGCACTGGCATTTGAAGCCTGCCCACAATTTGACCCCAATCCACTGTTCTGTCTTAACTCCTCAGCCATGCACCTTCTTCACCAGCTAAACTGATCAATTCACTGTCTCCCAAACTCACTTTGCACATGCCTACCTCTGGACCCGTGTTCAACAGAGTTCCTCCATTTTGGAATGTCCTCCCACAACAACTCTCCTTCCATCTAAACCCCACCCTTAATAAGGAACCAACTCTAGTGCCTCTTCCTCTGTGATCCTTCCTTAATGAACATTTATGTTCTTTATGGTAGCGAGCAGAGTTTCATCTCTCTGTACTCCCCACAGCATCTTTTCACAGGGGGAGAGTGAATGTGTTATTAGAGTATAACATACAAAATACACAAATTATGTAAGTGTACAGATCGATAAATAAACACAAAGTGAACACATCTGGTAACCAGCACCAGAATAGGTAGAGAACATTATTAGAACCCCCAAAACTTCCTCAGGCCCCCTTCCAGTCACTATCCCCCCACAAAAGGCATATTCTATCCTGATGTCTAACAACGTAGGTTATTTTGCCTGTTTTTGAAATTGATATGAACGAGATGGTATAACATACACTCTGTGTCTGGCTTCTGTTGCTCAACATTATGTTTGCGTGATCCATCTATATTGTGTGAAATTTGTAGTTCACTCATTCTCATTGCTGTTTAAAATTTTTTTTTTAAATTTATTTATTCATGAGAGTCAGAGAGAGAGATAGAGAGAGGCAGCGGCAGAGGGAGAAGCAGGCTCCCCGCCCAGCAGGGAGCCCGATGCGGGACTCGATCCCAGGACCCTGGGATCGTGACCTGAGCCGAAGGCAGATGCTTAACCATCTGAGCCACCCAGGCGTCCCTCTCATTGCTGTTTAATATTACATTATATGAATATGTCATAATTTGTTCTATTGTTGATGGGCATTTGGGTTGTTTCCAATTCATAGCTATTAAAATAGTGCTGCTATGAACATTCTCATACACGTCATTTGGTAAACATATATATCCTTTTCTTTTGGGTATATAGCTAGGAGAAAAAGTGCTGGGTCATAATGGATATGTATGTAGAGCTTTTATAGATAATGCCAGTTTTCTAAAGTGGTTATACCAAGTTACATTACCATTTGGCAAGGTCTGAGAGTTCTAGTTCTCCACATCCCACTAATATTTGGCATTATCTTTTTCATTTTAGCTTTTTAAGATTCCCTAGTTTTGCTTATAAGCAACAGAAGAGGAGCAAAAGTAGGCAAGTTAGCAGCTGTAGCTGTCTCTGTTCTGGTCTATCCTATAGACCAAGCTGGTTATTGTAGGGGCTGTTCAGATTGCCCTGAGGTCAGTACTTGGTCCAAAAGGCTATAATGTGGCTTGGTCTACTCAGGGTCTACTTGAGGGGTTCTGTTCCATGTTTAAGGGAAGAGTTTTACTTCCTGTATGCAATCCTGAAAGAAGACAAATGACTTCAAATGGTTTCTAGAATCCAACCAAAGTTGAACATAAAAAAGCTGAAGTCCAAGACTCTAATGTCCTTACCCACTTTTTTCTATTTTATTTTTTAATTGTGAAATATTCATTCATACAAATACAATATAAATAATTTAATGAGTAATAAAGCCAATGATTGTATACCCCCTACCAATTTAGGAAATAGAATATTACCAGCATCTTAGAAACCCATTTGCCTCTTCCCAATTATTCCTGTACCTCTCCACAAGAGATAATCTATAGTCTGTCATTTTACCCCTATGCATCCAGAAAAAAAAGAAAAGAACATTCTGCATGATTCCACTGATATAAAACTTTAGAAAATTCAAATTAATCTATAGAGGCAGAAAGCAATCAGTGATTGCTCTGGGAGGGATGATGCAAGGACCAGGAGAGAGGGATTACAAAGAGGCACAAGGATACTTTTGAGGGTGATGCATATGTTTATTCCCCCAGCTTTACTGAGATATGACTGAGATAGCATTGTGTAAGTTTAAGGTATGAACATGATAATTTGATATATATTATGGAATGATTACCACAATGTTAGGTAATACATTCATCACCTTACATAGTTACTTCTCTGTGTGTGTGTGTGTGTGTGTGTGTGTGTGTGTGGTGGTAACTTTTAAGATCCACTGTCTAGGGGCGCCTGGGTGGCTCAGTTGGTTAAGTGACTGCCTTCGGCTCAGGTCATGATCCTGGAGTCCTGGGATCGAGTCCCGAATCGGGCTCCCTGCTCAGCAGGGAGTCTGCTTCTCCCTCTGATCCTCCCCCCTCTCATGCTCTCTCTCTCTGTCTCATTCTCTCTCTCAAATAAATAAAATCTTTAAAAAAAAAAAAAGATCCACTGTCTAAGCAACTTTCTAGTTGCTGTAAGACAGTATTGTTAACTATAGTCACCATCATATATTCACTATCTTAACTGTGGCGATGGTTTCAGAGGTGTATATGTATATCAAAACATACCAAATTATACACTTTAAATATGTGCAGTTAACTGTGTGTCAATTAAACTTCAATTAAGCTGTTAACATTTTTTGGTGTAGGAAGATAGATGGGTAAGAGCTTTTCACATCAATAATTCTCAATTAGAGGACAGATGAGCGCATATCTTCCAGGGAGGCATATTGGAATCACCTGTGAAACTTTTTCAAACTATAGAGACCTCTTCACTCTCTCCCCAGAGATTCTAAAATATCCAATATCTTCACAGGGGTGCAGTCCCATTTAAGAACAACCACTGCAGTAAGCTGGGGTGGATAAAAGGGTTGTATACTGAGGCTTTGAAAGAGGTAGTAAGGGAGCAAGGGGGAGACAAAGAATATAGGAAAGGTAGAATGACAAGGCAGCAGGGGTGGTAAAGAGAGAAGAGAAGGGCTGAGGGACATGGAGGCCTCAACCATAGACAACTAGATCCTTTTGTTTTGGGTGTGACTATCAGTATGAGTATGGTGCTGAAGACAGTAGGGCAAATATGTATTTGGTACATGGGATGATGATGATGATGATGATCACATAGCTGGATATTACTTATTTGTTTCTTCTAAGTATTTCCTTTCCCTCCATTCAATCAGGTAGCCTAGTCAGTTCTGGATCACTGCTTCAGGGGCAATGTGGAAAGTAGAGAAAGACCATCAGACTTACTGGATTTTGTCTTTGAAAAGCCTAAGAAGATCACTGGAAGACAGTTTGTGAGAAGATACAGAAAAATGTGGAAAAGAGGGAGGGGGATAGTGATTCTCTTCAGATTAGAAAGGTTATTTCCCTGGGCTGGCAGAAAAGAGAGAAGTCTGTGGGTTCTGGAACAGTTGGGATCCTGGCCTGGCTTCCTGGGAGGAGGTAAGATCCAGAGAAGTCTGGGACTATTATCATTTTCAGTTTTTAGATTACAAAAGAACAAGGCTTGGTGAAATTAATTAACTAGCAAAATGACAAAAAAGCTATTAAGTGGTAGAACTAGAACTTGAACCCAGTCAGTCAGGGATATCTACTGACATTGACACCTATCTTAAATATTGGTTAACTAAAATTAGAGGGTAGGGGTAGAGAGAAACCTACAATTTTTATCCAGTTGTGAAAAAGCAACTGCTTACCATTTATGTCTAATTATTCTGCAAAATAATACCTTTGTGACTTGAGAACAAGCGTGGCTTTCTTAAAAATTTTTGGTCAAGGGATGATCTTATACCAGTCTAAGTATCCTAGGAGGTTTTCATCTCACCTAGACTCTAAAATTTCCTATGGAATGAAATGGCTTTGGAGATTAGAGACAACCTATTTCTTTCTTAGTTTTGCTCCTTTTCATGATTCCATGTCACAAATTCAATCCTTATGCCTAGAAAGCATTGCCCCAAGCTAGTCCAGAATCACTCACCATCCAGCTTTTTCAGTTTGGGGACTCTCTTGGTCGCCTCTTCAATCCAGTTCCCATCAGCAGAATGTTTCTCTTCCAAGGGATTGCCTACAAACACCAGGTCTTCCAGGCACGGCAATTCTGCCAGCTTCACAAATTCAGCTACAAGTACAAAGAATACATTCTATAATAAAATGGAAAATTCTCCTGTTATGATTTTGGAGATTGAACTCCAGTATCACTAGCCCTCAGTTTGTGACTATTCAGAACAATTTGTTGTTTAAGATTTTGAAGAAAGTAAGGGAAATTATACCATATGAAGTCATTCTCTGAAGACATTATGGAAAGGGAAGGAAAAAGAAGACATACCTCTTCTACCTTTATGCTAGCCTAAGGACGGGATAAGAAAAGGAGATGAGGTTCAGAATCACAAAGAACAACATATCACTCTCCAGCGACAGGTCTTCTCTATGCTGTATTGCATCAGTATGGGTTAAATCAAATTTGTCTCCAACCATTCCCTCATCTTCGAATTCTTTATTTAAAAGAAGATTTATTTATTTGAGAGAGAGAGTCAGCATGGGGTAGGGGTCAGAGGGAGAGGGAGACACCGAATCTCAAGCAGACTCTACACTGAGCACGGAGCCTGATGTGGGGCTCAATCCCACAACCCCGAGATCATGACCTGAGCTGAAATCAAGAGTCGGAAGCTTAACCAGCTGAGCCACCCAGGTGCCCCTCATCTTTGAATTTTTTTTTTTAAGATTTATTTATTTATTTTAGAGAGAGAGAGAGCAGGGTGGAGGGGAAGAGGGAGAGGGAGACAGTCTTAAACAGACTCCCCACTGAGCACAGAGCCTGCAGGGCTTGATCTCACAACCCCGAGTTCATGACCTGAGCTGAAGCCAAGAATCCAACACCTAACTGACCAAGCCACCCACACATCCCTCATCTTTGAATTCTCAAAGCAACGCATTCACACACCTACTGAAGAACTCATTACACAGTTTATAAACTACTCTTTCCCCCTAAGTTGTGAATTCCTTGAAGGCATGGACAGTGTACTATTCAACTATGTATCTCAAGAGCCTGGCATAGCTCGTAACACTTAATAGGGCTTTGGTAAATGCTCAATGAATAATGTACTATAAAAAAACAAAGTCATATAGATGGCAAATACATATTCCATCCAAGAATTATTAAATTTAAACTGATTCCATTCAGCCTTTGGACTATAATTTTTTTCCATGATGAAGGGGACCAGGATCTATTCAATATAATCATTTTAAGTAAATATTTAAATGTAAATTTCAAGCATTCAGCTGAAAGATAGGAACTCCTATAGCTATTTCCCTGTGTGCTTAGAAAGAAATGTCCCCATTTTGCATCTTGTTCTCTGTTGGGCTATTTTCTATAAACAGGAGGTAGAAGGTTAGCAAAGAGCCAGCTTCAGCTTACCCCAGTCTTTCACTAGGTTATTAGACATGTAGAGAATCTTCAATTTCTTCATTACATGGATCCCTTTCAACTTCTCAATAAAATTGTAGGAGATCCACAGTTCTTCTAATGTGTCCCCTACTGCTTCCTGAAAAAGAAAGCCATTTTGGTTTACAAGCTTATTTTCCTCTGTCCCCTTTCTTTTTTTTTTTTTTTTTAAGATTTTTTATTTATTTGCGAGAGAGAGAATGAGAGACAGAGAGCATGAGAGGGAGGAGGGTCAGAGGGAGAAG